ACTTGTAATTCTTTAAGATTCGGTCAATTAATTCCCAAAAATTTGGAAAAATTTTGGTACCAGTTTCCAAAAAATCGGTAACGAAAAAATTATACATTTTGTGGCAATCCCTGGAAAATTCTACCCCTGTTCATATATCATTCTTTAAGATTCGGTCAATTATTTTCCGAAAAATTAGAAAAATTAGAAAAACCGGTTTCCAGAAAATCGGTAACCAAAAACTGTACACATCATGGCACTCCCCGGAAAATGCTACCCCTATTTCATATACTTTTGGTGAAAATTCGGTCCACTAACGAATGAGTAATTCGCGGTCATACAGACGGAAGACGGTACTTATATATATATATACTAGCTTTTTCTATCGAAAAAAAAAATTTTGTTTTTTTTTTCTTTCTTCCTCCATAACTCCTTCAAAAATATAATTTTAAGGTCAATATTTGCAGGAGTTCAAGGTCACATGGATACTAACTTACGACGCCAATACTTCATACTTGCGAGGGCAATTTTTACATGCTTATCCCCCTATGCCCTTTATCGATATACCACATTTTTAGTAAAAGATATATTTTTTTTTTCAATTAAATGTCCTTGTTTGTTGGTTTCTTCTATTTTTATTTTTACACTTTCTCTTTTGTTGCTCTAGAAAATGCTACATAGAGTTGTCCATGTGCAAATACTGTATTTCGTAGATATTCTTACCTTTTTTAATGTTTGTCCTTGTGCTTTATTTATTGTCATTGCAAATGCGACGTATTGGAAACTGTCGCCTTTTAAGCTTAAATGGTAGTTCAATATCACTTGATATGAAATCGATTCTTGGTAAGAAGACAATTTCTCCTCTTGCTGGCCCTGTCATAACCTCCGCATGAATCAGGTTTTGTTTCAGTTCTCTTACAATCAATCTTGTTCCATAATCTTGTTGCATAATCCTTTCTTTGAATTTATATTCCTTAAAAGTATTATTATGGCACTCATTTTTAATTTTAGTCGATAAACGGCATTCCACTTAGTGTCACACTATTTAAAAACTCCGTTGGAAAATTTAAATGTTCTTGTTCTTCTTCACTCTCAATAGAGTCAATTGATAGATATTCTTTTTCTTCTCCTTCCATTAAACCTAAAATGTTGTCATTAATTTTAAACGTGTCCTCATTTTTTGGACAAAGGATCGCTCTATCTGGATTTTCCATTATTTTTTCCATAGTTATTTTTTCTCCAAAAATGTCTGTAATTAGTGATCCTTTACATAAAAATTCGTGTGAAATTTCTATTGTATCTTGTTGTAGTCCATCTGTATTCGTCAAGTTACCCTCTCCTAATTCCATTAGCCAATTTGCAAATTCTCTTTCTTCCCCTGTTCTCATATTTTCCTTAAGCCTAATTTGAATTACTTCCTTCTATATTGAGTTGTATTTTACAGTTGACTCAATTATAACTGTTCTATTTGCATGAACCACTACAAGTAAATTTTGTCTGAAGTCTCCTGCAAAAAGAATTACTTTTGCTCCAAATGGTTTTGTATTCCTCATCAGATCTCTTAATAATTTATCGACTGCTGTTAGAGCTTGTCCTACAATCATGCTCACTTCATCCCATATTATTAGTTTCGCAGAGATTAATTCTCTTGCTTCCTGCGTTTTTCTTCTGATATTTGGTTTCGTTGTTTCATCTATTGGTATTGTTAGCTTGAACAAACTGTGATATGTTCTTCCCCCCTTTAGAAGTGTTGCTGCTATGCCTGTTGACGCACATGGTAAAACCACCTCGTTTCTTCCTCTGATTACACTTAATAATGTTATTAAACAGGTATGTTTTTCCACTTCCTGCAAATCTGTCTATAAAAAATAATTTTTTGACTTCATTCTCATTTTTAATTGCTCGCATTACTAAATCGTACACGTGCTTTTGCTCTGCATTTAATGTCAACAATAAATCTTCTCCTCTACTTCTTTCTTCATCTAAATCATATTCTATTTTAGTAATTTTCACTGGCTTTGGTTTTGGCAATTTGAAGTTTACGCAGCTAGTTCCATTATTTCTCATTATTTCCTCGATATAATTCATGGCTATATTTTCTAGATTATCCATATTTTTATGTACATAATCTTCAATCATGGGGTCTTTATATTGTTGCGCCCGTGCCGAGACGCCCGGTAGAAGCCCGAAAAGCAGTTGCGAAGCGCTGCGTGACGTCGAGCCTTGACGATGAGCTGTTGCGTTTGTTTGTTTACTTCTGCCGTCTGTCAGATTCTCCGCCGGGCCTTCGAACCGTTCAGACGTGTTCACGAGCCATATTGTTCTATTACATTACTGCATTAAACGAGTTCTTTTCTATTTGTGAGTATTTATTCCCGGTAACGGGATTGCGCGCCGCGTTCGCGAGTGAGTGCGTGAGAGTGTGTGCTGCGAACGCGCGGTCGAGCGCAACATTTTGGGGGCTCGTCCGGGATCGGACGAGCGACGACGAGCATTATTCCTATGGCCACGAGGAAGAGACTCCGGGTGGAGACACCTCAGCGTTCGTGCGAGCAGGATTCGGCTGAAGCGACGGCAATGACCACGGTTGCTGAGAGTCTTCAGACCGTCATTTAGGAGGTCCGGCTCCTGCGCGAGGAACAGGCGCAGAGAGAGAGGGAGTACGCCGAGACGTTCCGCCGGCAGGAGGAGGAGCTCCGTCTTCTCCGAGGGATGAATTCCGGCGCACAAACACAGCTAAGTTATTTTAATAATAGAGCGTCTGGAGACTCGGAGACTCGAGTCGCGAGCGGCGCGGGCGGCGTGGGGGCGAGAGTCACACGCGGAAATATCGCGATCTCGAACGGCGCGGAAGCGCGAGACGCGCACGCGAGTGAGGGGGACGCGATCTCGAGCGCCGCGGTAGCGCAAGTCGCGCGTGCGGGAGAAAAAGACGCGATCTCGAGCGGCGTGGGAACGCGAATATACGCGAGTGATAGTGTCGCGGTCGCGAGTGCCGACCTGGGGTACAAACTGAAACCCGACACGTACGACGGAACAACCCCGTTACAAGAATATTTCTCGCAATTGAGTTTGATCGCGCGTGCGAACCATTGGGATGACGCCACAAAAACGATCGCGTTGGTTTCGAGCCTGAGGGGAAAGGCACGCTCGGTCTTGGAAACGGTTCAAGATGTCGAGCAGTTAGATTTCGCGGAACTTAAAACAAAACTTGAGTTGCGTTTCGGGGAGGGACGACAATCACGGAACTGTTACGTCGCGTTTACGAACCGTAAACAAAAATTCGGGGAGGATTTGGCAACACTCGGATCCGAAATTGACAAACTTTCGCGCCTGGCGTACCCCGAGTGCCCATATGAGCTTCGCGATAAAATCGCTTGTGCGCAATTCGTTACGGCCGTTTCCGATAATTTTATTCGGCGAGCGCTTCAGATGGAGGGAATAACCTCCTTAATTCTGGCCGTTGAAAGGGCTAAAGCGCTCAAAGTTATCCAGGGGGATAATTCAGAGAGATACAGGGAGAATTTAAACAAGAATTTCGTAAAAAACGGAGATAGAAATTTGGTAAAGAATGAGGAACGTGATATCGGAGGGAAGACTGAGGAAAAGGATAAGGAGGGAAAGGGCCCGAAAGGGAATTGGCGAGGCAGCAAATTTGGCGCTGGCCGGGGGGAGTGTTGGACGTGCGGTAAAACCGGGCATTTCCGGTCAGAATGCCCTAATGAGGGAAACGCGATTTAGTTGAGCTTGGCGGGGTGGGCTCAATTTTTGTGAAAAATTCCCTGAAAGTCGTGTGATTGATTCTTTTTAATCTTTAAAGTGTTATGTTGTTTTTTGTTTCTGTGCGTCGTGTGACTTTTTGTTTTAGAGGAAATCGACGGCATGTGTTGGTGAGATCGATAGGAGTCTCCACGTGTGGCAGATCGACAGCCAGAACTCCCAATCCGAAGTGGACCGCCTGCCCACGGTTTTTGACCCGTAGTTTTTCCGTGGGCCATAGGGCAAATGCCGGGCGGGGACCTGGGGAGCCCTGCGGGGCGCAGGGTCCACGGGAAGTTTCCCCCCCCCTTGTCCGAAGATTTCGCGGGAGAGCAGCGGTCGAGGAAGAGGACGACATTTCGGAGTACCGGAGGACTCGAGGGCGAGATAGTGCGGACGGCCCTCCTGAAGACGGCTTAGGAGAGTCTGGCCAGCTTTTCCCAGAGGTCGATTGTGAGGAGAAGGTCGTGGCGGCAAGAAGCTGTACTCGTCTGGGCGCTGCTCCCCTTTGATTGTCGGGACGACAATCTAGGAAGAGGGAGGGCAGTGTTGCGCCTGTGCCGAGACGCCCGGTAGAAGCCCGAAAAGCAGTCGCGAAGCGCTGCGTGACGTCGAGCCTTGACGACGAGCTGTTTCGTTTGTTTGTTTACTTCTGCCGTCTGTCAGATTCTCCGCCGGGCCTTCGAACCGTTCAGACGTGTTCACGAGCCATATTGTTCTATTACATTACTGCATTAAACGAGTTCTTTTCTATTTGTGAGTATTTATTCCCGGTAACGGGATTGCGCGCCGCGTTCGCGAGTGAGTGCGTGAGAGTGTGTGCTGCGAACGCGCGGTCGAGCGCAACAATATTTATTCCAAAGTGTTGGTACATTTGTAGGTGTTCCATATATGCAAATAGCTCTCTAATTTGTGCAGGCATTTGGCTCTCTTTCGCTTTTTCTAGCGTTTTGTCTCATTGATCGTCTGATTCTATCAAATTCCTTGTTTTTGCCGCATCCTTGAACGTCTCATAAAGAACTTTGTTGACAGTTCTCAAATCCTCGTAACATTTAGCTCCCCTAACATGTAAGAGAAGCAGTCGTAAATAATATCTTTCATTATCTCTTTTATGCTTACTGTATATAATCTAGAAATGATCTTTTCTGTTCTTTTTTGACGTAGTTTCCATTTTGTTTCTTTTTTTTTCATACACATATTGTGACGCAACCTCTGTGTATAATAAATGCCTCGCTCTTTCATCATCTTGATTTAATTTAAACCATGCTGTAAGGGTAGTGTCCCTTCTCTGTGCACTTATTGCTGCTTGTTCTTCATTTCCCTCTTTAACATATATCATTTGGCGATTAGGTAAATGAACTGCCAGTCTTATTACTGTATGAGACTTCATGAACATTTCATATCCGTTCAGTCTTGCTTCTGGTGTACTAACATATCTTGCATCCACGAATGATTTTACCTCATCTATTTTAATGAGTCTCGTTCCGTCTCTTGCTTGCACCTCAATGGGAGCACAATCAAATCCTTTATGAATGTACTTGTATAAATATTTAACGCTCTTTACTGATGAACATATTTCCAAATTTATGTGCCGATCATATTTCATTAATAAATATGGTGAATATGGCACTACCCATTTATTATCAATTTTTTTTCCTCTTACCTTGTATTTTTTTCCCTGTATTCCTTCTTTGATACATGGGATATCCATTCTCATTTGCTTTTGTTTTGTCTCTAAATTTTTTTGGATAGCCTTTTGTACACTTTTCTTCTTCCCCTATGCAAGGATATCTTCTCGATGTGTCGCTACATGGTCCGTAAATCATATGCCTTAAAACCATTGCATTAAGCTCTGGATAGCTTTCTTCATCAGGTATTTCAGCCCATACCATCTTGTCTATTATTTCTTCATCTCTTGGCTTTTCTTTATCATCTAAAATTGCAAGTAAATGCAAATATGGTAGTCCTCTTTTTTGGAACTCAATTACGCCTACATAGGCTATAATTTTTCCGAAAATTTCCTTTTGCATTAGATCTCTCATCAGTTCTTTTACATCCAAGTTGAAGGCTTTTGCTACTAAATCTGGACGATATTCTACCATCAAGGTTTTCCTTAATTGACGGAGACTGTGGATTGCATGTCACTGTTAAAAAGATGTCTGGTTTCCCAAACTTTCTCACTATAGACATTGCATCTTGATATCTTTCTTGCATATTTCTTGGACTTCCGATAAATGATGATGGTAATATTACTGGTATACCAGCTTTAATTCCTTCATTTTGTTCTCGATTATCTAGGTGATCCATTAACCCTGAATACAGTTCTGCTCTTATCTCTTTGGCTGATTTAATTTAATATGATTAAGTCTGTTAGCCTCAGTTTTCATATAGGCATCTAGTATGAATTGACACCTCAACTTGCCTGCCATTTTAAATTGACTAAATTCTTTTCTAGGTGCCAGCAAGTAAGCATAATAATTCATCTGAAAAATTTTATATCTTTGATATATAGGAGTATTTGATTTCATTTCAGAATGCCATCCATCGTTGCCATATAGATATAATAAAGAATAACACATTGGGTCACACCTTTTATCCAGAATTGAAATTTGTTGAATATCGTTCGCATTTTTGTTATATATCCTAATGTCTCTCTCAAATAGAGGCTCACCATCAACATTATTAAAGACGGCTATTTCATTTGCACATGGGGCATTATACTCCGCTACAGTCCGCGATTTGTGCAAATACGGGCTTGGGTGTCCCCGTTCTGAAGATCGTGTGTGGCTCGACCGCCGTGCTTTTTCGCGCGTTACCGCGATCCACGCGCAAAGCAAATAAAATAAAATAATATTTTACAGTCGGGCCGGGCACTTTAGTGCCGCAAAACTAAACAAACAGAAGGTGGATCGGGAAAGAAAATGACCTTATATACTAGACGAGCCGCTGCTCGGCGACCGCTGTCGCAAACCTTAATCTTATCTTAATCTAGTTGCGCCAGACGGATCAAAACAAAATAAACGTGTTTACTCGTCGATAAAAGGGAAAACTGAACATAATGTCTTGGAGCTTGGGCTCCCTATTCTTATCAGTCCTCGCAGCGCTATGGGAGGGCTGGCCTAGGCCGGGGCATCTTCTTAGTCCTCCGAGGAGTCCTCTCCCGAAAAAATGCTCCGGAACTCCTCGTCCGGCTCGTCCTGCGCCGCGGGTTGCGGCACCGCCGTCAATGTCACCGTCTCCTGGACGGTGGTTCTGGTGAGCTGCACCTGAAAGGCGCAGCCAAACGCCTCGGCCGCTTGCCTGATCGCCTCCTTTTCCTTCGGCGAGCCCCATTGATCGGTGCTCGTCATCGTCCGCACCGCCTGATGCATTATGACGCCGCTCGAGGTGCGTGGGACCATGTCCCATGCGCTGCGTCCCTCAACGTCTCGAGGTAGCGGTGTTGGTGTCCGCTTCGCGCGTCGCAACTCTTCCTGGGAGAATCGCTTTAGCACTACCCGGGGCTGGCCGAGCAGCTGCGCGCGCACCGTCTTAGCGGACGGCTTCAAGGTCGGAGGAGTGTGAGTGTATGTGTGAAGGGGTCCCACGTAGGTAAGTCCAACCAAGTCCCCGCGAAGGGGAGGGAGGGTTTAGCATGTGAAGGGTCGCCTACGGCCAGCTCGGGTAGAATAAGAGAAACGTTGTAAAGGGTTGGGTACGTCCCTAAAAAACGCCATTTTGTAATTTCTCGGAATAGAAATAAATATTACTACTATATATTTTAATAACTTCCCAACATCTATCTTTTTACATTTTTTTAAAATAATATTTTAAATATATTTATTTTATTACTTAATTTAAAATCTTAATTTTTTATTTACCAAATTAATTTTTCGAAAAGATTCCCAAATTTGACAAAATTCCAAAAATGAAAGTAAATTAATTACTATGAACTTACGTTTTATATTATAGTACAATTAATAAAAAATTGTCTTCTTATGTAAATAGACTAATAGACTCACTTTATGTTAGAAACTTACTTACCAAGACTTGCCTTAGTTATACCATTGTTCCGTAAGTTACCTTCTCAAGTCAAGAAAACAGAGACAAATCTTTTTATTCAGAACTTATGAAATAAATATACCATTTTCTTTTGTCTCTAAATTCAACTTAATATCTCAAAATTTTCGAAAATTAGGGCAATCACATACATTTTTTTAAACAAAAATCGAAAACTCTCTTTCTTGCTCTCTCTTTTCTCTTTCTTATAATGTGTGAATATTCTTCTTTTTTTTTTTTAAATGGAAAGACAGGTTACGTACATTTTTTTCAATGTATATATTTCGCAATATATTGTGTTGCAATAAAATTCATAATATCAATATTTCTAATCCTATTCTCTTTATTTCTTTCTTATAATGTGCGAATATCCTTCTTTTTCATAAAAAACGAAAGTCAATAGTATAATATAATTAAATTTTTTTTCAATGTGTATATTGCGTAATATATGTGTTGCAATAAAATTTATAATGGCAATATTTCTAATTCTATTCTCTATTTCTTTCGGGAGTCCAATACTCTTTATCTTTATTTCTTTCTTATAATGTGCGAATATCCTTCTTTTTCATTAGAAACAAAAGTCAATAGTATAATATAATGAAATAAAAAAGAAATTAATATTTAAAATACATACCTTTTTTCTTTCTCTCTCTCTCTCTCTCTCTCTCTCTCTCTCTCTCTTTCTTTCTTACAATGTGCAAATATCCTCTTAATGGGTTTCTCTCTTTCTTATAATGTGCGAATATTTTCTTAATTGCTCGCGAAAGTCACGAATTAAAGTGACTGATTTATCAGTTTTGACATATCATATATGAAAGCAGCAACTTCATAACATAATGCACTTAAAAATGCTCGACCTATGAACGATATCATTTGTTAATTTTGTTAATCATACTTTGTATATATTTTTTTAATTTATATTTATTTCACATATGCAATTCTTTGAGATTCAATCAAATATTTTCCAAAAAATTGTAAAAATTTCTGATACCGGTTTCCAAAAGATCGATAACAAAAAATTATACACTTTATAGTATACACTTTATAGCATTCCCCAGAAAATTCTACCCCTGTTTCATATGTAATTCTTTGAAATTCGGGTGTGTAAGATGTACATGTATTATTAAATATCATACTATTATATAAAACCCGACTGTTTGTTTGTCTGTCCGTCCGTCCGTCCGTCTGTCCGCGAACTACTCATTCGTTAGTGGACCGAACTTTTATCAAAGGTACATAAAATAGGGGTAGAATTTCCCGGGGAGTGCCGTAAAGTGTATAGTTTATTGCTACCGATTTTCTGGAAACCGATTTTTTTAATTTTTTTAATTTTTTGGTCGATTTTTTTAATTTTTTGGTTGGAGGGAGAGGGAGAGAGAGAGGGAGAGAGAGAGAGAGAGAGAAGGAGAGAGAAAGAAAGAGAGAGACGGAGGGAGAGGGAGAGGGAGGGAGGGAGAGGGGGGAGAGAGAGAGAGAGAGAGAGAGAGGGAGGGAGAGAGAGAAGGAGAGATAGACTATTTGCGTGATGTTACTTATTACATATGTTACTTATTACATATGTCCTCCGGGGCGAAACCCGGGACACCAGCTAGTCATTAAAATAATTAAGAAGGTATGAAATCGATGTCAGAACTTTGCGAAATTGATCGAGCGCCAAGCGTTTATCTTATAAAAATGACTGTATAAATTGCTGGTTTTATATATTAATATATATCATATTACATTATATTTTGTATACGTTAGAAAAATTTAATTGCGGTGATTAAACGATGGAAGAAAAATTGTAAGTATTTGCTTTTAACAAAAAGATTTAAATAATCTATATTTGATATATTTATGATTTTCTAAGATATCATACTATTATATAAAATATATGGTTATATTTAGTACTCGATGACGGCTGGAATGATGTTCTGAATGATTTACTCGATGACTTAAAAAACCAATGGAAAAAATCGGTAATCAGTAAGTGAAATATCGAGGTTATGTGTTCATCGCGAGCGAGCGATCTCAAAATTCCCTAAAAAACGTCAGGGTAAACCAAAGGATATGATGTCGCTAATCGGTAAGTGAAATATCGGAGAAGCGGAAATGACTCAATAGTCTGAAACTTGATTAGACCGGTTACGACATGTTTAATCCATGAAATCATTTATGCGGTCTATTTTTAAATTAGAGACATTTAGTTATGATTCAAATTACGAATATCAATTTCATCCAAAAGTAATAATTTGGAAAATTGATCCAATATGTGATCATTGTTAAGCAAAAAAGTTTAAAACTTAAGCACCTAAAATGTGTTATTCATTTGTAAAAGTTAAATTACCGTCTTTAAATCAACCCGACTCCTTAGGGAACTTCTTTAAGAAAAACGACTCCCGGGCAAAGCCCGGGTAACCAGCTAGTTAAGTATATTATTGTTTTTATATATATTTATATACTTTCCCTAGTATATAGTATATAAATTTGCGTTAAAATTTGTAACTTATAAAATTCTATACAAAAAACGTTCTATATTTTTTTCTCAGGATCAATCATTTTCGTGTTCTACATTTTATAAAGTTTCAACTTTTATACATCTCAGAGATAATACACTATTTTCCACACCACCTCGGAGGTATAGTGTTAGGCGCGTTTTTTTTAACGTGGTGTCCCTAGTAGGCCTAACCCACTGCTTTTTTATATTGTTGCGCTCACCGCGTCGCTCGTTCTCACACACACGCTCACACTCCCGACGCTCGCGGAAATAAGGAAACACTGCGGTGATTAAGGAGAACAAACTTAATGTTTATTAAAGGCTCGCGACACAGAAGAGCGTGGACCACGTCCGCACGGTCCAGCAGCTCGAGACAAAATCCCAGCTGTTTCTTATCAAATCAATAAATCAATAAATTAACAAATCAACAAGCTCGTTGCCAAGGACATTTTCCGAAAAGACGGCTTATCGCACGCTTCAGCTCGGACTCGAAGCATACCGGGCGGCATGCACGCAACAATATATAACGTTTTTTGGATAGAATTCTTTAAGTTCCATTTTTTGTATTAACTATTTTTAATGATTTTCCACTAACTGTAATGCAGATAGGTGAACTAAACATGTATTTTATTAGTATAGATTATAAACTGTACTCCGACAGAAATCACATTTCAATGTTACTTTAATGCTTGTTTTCCATTATCTATATTTTTATATATATATTTATTTATCTGTCTTCTATAATGACGTTGATTCTACTTGTTTATTAGTTGATCATTGGATTTGTTTTTTTAATCGTTAAAAACCTCTGTGAAAACAACATTGCTAGTTTTATTGCTCTCATCAGGAATCAGTATTGTTTGGTCCTTTGTTGAACCAATCCGTGAGAGTCCTACATATAATTAGCCGTGTGAAAAGACTTCGTTTCTGAAGTCTACGCCAACTACTTTGAAGGTTTGTCCTTAGGACTTATTAATCGTCATGGCGAAACACATTCTAACAGGAAACTGCAGCCTTTTAAACGCAAATGGCAAATCCGTAGGGACCATAGGTATTCTTGGAATTAATGTTATTTCACCGGCTGCAGGTCCTGTCAGAATGGTTGCTTCTACGATGTAAGGCATGAGACGCTTAACTTGCAGTCTAGTGCCGCTGCAAAACCGTGATGGTTTAAGATTCCGAAGCAGCATTATCGGGGTACCAACTTTTAATCTCAGTTTATGTGGAGGCAATCCTGCAGGGTTAAGAGAGTTGAGAAACTCAATCGGATAGTGGATGACTTCATCTCCATTTACCATTGTGTCTATTGACTTATATGTTTTACATTCGGTGGTGACTTTTTGTAAAAGTATTTCATTAATCTCCTCTGCAGCTTTATTTTTTGCAGTTACGATTGCACGTTCGCAAAGCCAATTTGTTTCTTTTTGTGTTAAATTCTGAATATCTGGATAAACATTGTCAATAATTTGATCAATAGTTCGGATGCAAGTTCCTACAATATCAGAAATGTTAATGTAGCCATTCTGCGTTATAGAGATAGAGCCGTCACCAATTTTAAGCAAATACTCTGCAAATTGTTCTAAATTCTTGTCTCCTCGTAAATGAACTCGCATATTAATAGTCAGTCAATGTTTTTTTACATGCTGCCGAATTTCAGTTTTTTTCATGCATACTTTTATAATATCCGCACGTGTTCCTTTAGGCACCACTGGCAGAGTTTGCCTGAAATCACCGGTAAAAACAAATGTTACCCCACCCATTACCTTTTCTGATGTTCTTAAGTCTTTAAGGGTTCGATTGACGGCATCTATATGGGACTTGTGCGACATCGTACATTCGTCCCATACTATCAAGGATGCCTGTTGGAGAAGTTTACCAGTAACACCATTTTTTCTCACGGAACATACCGAACTTTGGTCCAAGGACACATTCAGTGGCAACTTAAAAGTAGAGTGGGTAGTTCTTCCACTTAGAAGAGTCGCAGCTATGCCTGATGAGGCAACCGCGATAGCGATCTTCTTTTGACTTCTTATTTTCGCCAAAATTAATGAAATGACAAACGTTTTGCCAGTACCTCCTGGCGCATCTATAAAGTAAATGTTACCCTTTATTATCTTGGACACTATTTATTATTTCGTCGTATACCATTTTTTGTTCTGTATTCAGTTTCACTTCGTTTTCTTGCAAATATACTTCTAAGTCGTCGATATTGTGTACTGTTTCTCGTAAGTAAAATAGGTTATCTATGTTTGAATCATTGCGCTGAGGTTCTGGCAAACCAAACTCTTTCAAGCACTTTTCTCCATGAGTGAACACTATGTCCTCAAGAAGAATCAACCCCTCATTGAAAATTTCCTCTGTGAACTGAACCTCACTATTCTTACTTTTCTGTCGAACCCGATGTAAAATATCATCGCATAGGTGTGTCCGGTATGCATTCCATAATTCTAAAGGATTAGACATTTCACAAAACATTAGCATAATGCTAAATAACTCTCATTTTGTGTGCACTTTCTGAAATAGCTGCATCTGATAGTGTATCTCGCCAGTGCGTGTCACTCTCAAGCAAATTCCGGGCTTGGCACGCCGCGCGATAAGTGGGCATTATTTTACCATTCACCGTCTTTAAGTTATTAAAAGACGTCAATCCTCTGACGTGATGTAGGAGTAATCTGAGATAAAAGCATTCTGAATAATTAGGATGTATAGTATACTCTCGCCCTAATACTGTGTCCCGCTTTATACCTGGACAACCATCTACATCTTGGCCCTGTTTTCTCTGTTGCCATTTTTTGTTAGACCATTTATAATAAGCCGGTACTTGGTGATAAAGCAAAGTCTGTGCAAATTTATCAACTGCACACAGAGCAAAGAAGGCTGTCAGAGTGGTCTGAGGTGGATTTTCTATAACTTGTTGTAGATTTCTTTCAGTAAAATACACTCTTTGCCCATTTTCTAAGTGGACAGATAAATGAACAACTGGAAAATAGCGCTCGTGAATAGAAAATCCTAGTATTCTCCAGATACTTTCAGAGGTACTCAAATATCTGCCATTCAAATAGTTCTGAACCTCACCTTTTTTATTTTCAACGGCAAACGTAGCCGCATCGTTACCTTTATTAATATACTTACATATATATTTGATTGCTTGCACAGAATGGCAATATTCAACGTTGACGTGTGCAACGAAGCATCTGGAGAGAATCGGACAATATGGGACTATCCATTTATTATCAACAATGAAGTTACAATGCGATATAGTATAAATGTTTCCACCGTCAGCCGGACATCTTCTTCTGTACTTAGGGTATCCATCATCGCCAGTTACTGAAGAAAATCACGGGGATATCTTTTTGAACATGTACCGTTTGACATGCAAGGTGATGAGGAATTGACGGCTCCACATGGACCGTGGATCATATTCTTGCATACTATGTCGTAAAATAATGGATCTTCATCCTTATTGGGGATTTCAGCTGAAATAATGCTATCTATTTCATCAGATCTTATTTTGTCGACTAACCAAATTAAAATGTGGGCATGAGACAAACCTCTCTTCTGCCATTCAATTGAAAACATTTAGCATCGAACTTGACTAAAAATGTTCTTCTTTGTTATGGTTTTCATAAGTTGTTGTACTTTTAAGTGAAACACTCTCGCAACAATGTCGTGTCTTTTACTAGAACGTTGACCGGGATACAATTCTGTTTTAACTTCAGGCCATTCTGGATTGCACGTGAATGTGATAAATAAATCAGGTCTTCCATAATTACGAACATATGTAAGGGTCCTGTGTCCGCTCATGGAGATATCTAGGTGATCCTGTAAATGTGGATGGTAAAATAACCAGTTGCCCTATATCCGCCACATTAGAGTCTTCATTTACAGCATCTCTCAAATGTATATAATTTTCAGCTCGTAATGTTTTTTGATGTGCCCGAATAAATTTAATCGTTCGGTAATCATTTTTGCACCCATATCAACGCAATATTGATTGAATAACTGGCTATATCTGTGTAGCGTGTTAAAGCTATTTTCTCTTATCATAAGTTTATACGTATAAAACTGCATACAGGAAACCATTTTGCGAGGATTATCTTGTCCAGTGGTTGGTACTATTTGTGGGATACTGATGTTGTAACCATCTTCGTCTTTTATGAATATAAGATGGTACTGCAATGGATCGTAAGAACGGTGAAGTTCAGATATTCTTTGAAATGTATTATCGCGTGATCGCAATATCCCTAACTATATCCCTAAATCCACAGTCTTCGTCAACCATCAATACTGCGACTTCGTTAGTTGTTGGAGCATTATAACGACCTCTGTGTTCACCAAGCGGTCGCTTTTCAGCATGAATTACAATTTTATAGTTATCTTTGTTAATTGACATTTGTTCAATAGCTGTTATAAAGCTACGTACATAACTATTATTGTCACGAAGAATCTGTTGTAAAGTTTTCAAAATTTCTATTTTGAGAGATGGTGCAGAATCATGTCGCAAATTTAATTGTTCATCTTCTGATGTGAAATAAATTTGTAGAAATTGAGCTCTTGTGTCTAATGAATGAAGGTAGTAAACTGCCAATCATATGATATATTTGGCCATGCACTTTATACGTTGGCATGTAGTTACCTTCTCTAACTTCTTTATCTCCAAAAGATGTCATTGCAAAACATCCGTTGTATTTTCGAATGTTCTTCTGAAAATGTTTTGATCTTGGATCCGTTCCAATAAGTAATTCTTTCAGAATTCCTAATGGTTCATTAATATCATTTAGTTTGACGTGTCCATTAGAGCAACAAATTCCTAATGACTCTGGGGACCATTTTTTGGCGCAACAATAATTACAAACTTTTTCCATTTTTCCCATTAAAAAATCTGAATGACCTAAATAATCATTACTCGATTGATAATAAAACGCAGATCTAGGCCCAATGAATGAATTAAATGCATTTCTCGCCTGGTTTACTTGACATCGTCGACGCTTTAAGCGTTCTTCTCTCTCCGGACCGGTCTCAGCGACTCTAGCCACGGTATATCGAAGTTTTCTTCCTTCTAAATGCATTTCTCTTTCAACACTGGTTTGATTAACTCTGACTTGAGAAATGTGCAATCGATTTTCTTCTAAAAGTTCTTCCCTTTCAGTATTTGATTCGCTAACTCTAGATCGAGACACACATAAACGTGATTGTAACAATCGTTCTTTCCTTTGAGAAACACTTTCTAAGTTTCTAGCTTGTGCCAAACGTCAAGCGTTAGACGTTGATCGGGAAAGTTGTTTTTTTTTTGCTTTAGGCATTTTCCAAAAATTTACAAAGTAATTACACGACAACAAAATAAATACCTATAATTATTTACGAAGAAAGTAATAAAAATAGAAAATTTCTTCTTTTTTCTTTGTCCCACCATTACCTTTTTTCTTTATCACACTCCTGCTTTCTTTCGTCTCTTTCACAACAAAATAAACACCTATAATCAATACCTATAATTATAATTGTCCTATTATTATTATTATTATTATTATTATTATTTCAATCAAGGATTCTTGGTTTAAATTGATGTAATTTTAAATGCTTATAATATAAGCGTCTTGATTAAATAATTAAATTTATTGCGTAAAATATTACCTTAACCAGGGTTTCAAACCTGAAACCTCTTTGGATAAATAGAAATAAAAATTTACACATTCAAGATTTTGTAATCTATATAGATAAAATTATCATAAAAAATTTAATATAATTTAATTATAATTGTCGTAACGAATCGTCACCGCGTTTCAACTAAGAATTTTTGGTCATTTTAAATTGATTTAATTTTAGATGCTTATAATATAAGCGGTCAACAGAGACTGATATTTAAAATACATCCTTACCTTTTCCTAACATCCTTACCTTTTTCCTTTATCACACTTCTGCTTTCTTTCTTCTCTCTCTCTCTCTCTCTCTCTGGTGAGTACGTGTGCGTGTCTGTTTGTCGTTCTCACTTAGATGCAGCATACCTCTGCCGCAGACTGCCTTCGGGCAATTTTTGTTGCAGGCATATATGAGCTTTTGCTTGATTTCGAGAATTATCATTCAATTTCCTGCCTACTGGTCACCTTTGTGCTTATATTCTGCGTGACAAGTTCTCCGGTTTTTCTAACCTATCTTTTGGATTGCTGAGTTCATTGTGCCTGTTGGAAGGTGTGGATCTGATACGCATGCGCTGGCTGTTGCGCTATCTCTGTTCGTCTGCTTTTGGTTGGTACGCGTGTGATACAATCTTCCGTCCGCTCATTGGCTGGATCTCACGTGC